ATGATGCTTCCTAAGGCCCACTTGACTTCACACTTCAGGATGCCTGGCTCTAGGTGAGTGAGCACACCATCGTAGTTATCCAGGTCATTAGGATCTCATTTGTATAGTTCTTCTGTGTATTCTTGCCACCTCTTCTTAATATCTTCTGCTTGTGTTAGGTTCATACCAATTCTGTCCTTTATTGTGCCCATCTTTGCATGAAATGTTCCCTTGGTATCTCTAATTTTCTTGACAAGATCTCTAGTCTTTCCTGTTCTATTGTTTTCCTATATTTCTTTGCATTGATCATTTAGGAAGGCTTTCTTATCTCTCTTGTTCTTTGCAACTCTGCATTCATATCACTATATCTTTCATTTTCTTCTTTGCCTTCTCTTCTTTTCTCAGCTATTTGTAAGGACTCCTCAGAAAACCATTTTCCCTTTTTGTATTACTTCTTCTTGGGGATGGTTGTGATCACTGCCTACTGTACAGTGTTATGAACCTCCATCCATAGCTCTTCAGGCACTCTATCAGATCTAATCCCTTGAATCTGTTACTTCCACTGTATAGTCATAAGGGATTTGATTTAGGTCTTACCTGAATGGTCTAGTGGTTTTCCCTACTTTTTTCAATTTAAGTCTGAATTTGGCAATAAGGAGTGCATGATCTGAGCCACAGTCAGCTCCTGGTCTTGTTTTGGTTAACTGTATAGAGTTTCTCCATCTTCAGCTGCAAAAAACATAATCAGTCTGATTTCTGTATTGACCATCTTTTGATGTCAGTGTGTATAGTTGTCTCTTGTGTTGTTGGGAGATGTTTGCCATGACCAGTGAGTTCTCTTGGCAAAACTCTGTTAGCCTTTGCCCTGCTTCATTTTGTACTCCAAGGCCAAACCTGCCTGATATTTGAAGCATATATGTATATCATTCTTTTTAAAATTCTAGAATGTATAATGTATTCAAATGAAAAATTATCAAACTCTTTTAATTCAAGTACACACTCTCCTTACATTCACAGAGATGTCAAAATTAAAGTTCCCAATTTGTATACATATATGACCTTCTTTCTCCAGACAGAAAACATTAAGAATAAAATTGATAAAAAGCTTGAAAAATCACAATTCTAAAATGAATCTTGGAGATTATCTTTACCAAACCTATTATGTTACAGTTGAGATATTCTAGATCCAAATGTACAACAACTCCTTCAAGAGCATACTGTTAATTAGGTATGTAGATAAGACCAGAGCTCAGTTCTCCCAAATCCCGTGCTTTTCTATTAATCATAGTACCTCTCACAAAATAAGGGTCAGGGGCAGCTTGCGTAAGGAAAATGGTATGTATACACCTCCCACCTACATTAAGAGTGGCCTGGCCACCCACATACAGATTCTGCAGAAAAGAGAGAGTTGCAAGTGGTGTCTGTTGTGTGGAGACCACTGATGCTGCTAAACATCCTATCAGTCAGGTTTCTGTATTTAAATTAGGAAAGGGAAGCTCTTTCTACCTAGGCCAGCCTAAAGGAAAGATGATCCTGAAACAAAATCAAGACTGCATTTTCATAAAGGCAAAATCTAACATGCTGAGGTTTAAGGACATACACTTACCAGTATTTTTCAAGTTTAATGAAAAAGAATGTTACTTTTGAGGGATCATATGGGATTAAATGGAGAGGGAATTTATTTTCAAAGGTAGTGCTTTCACTATAGCCAAATAACATCCATAATTATTCACATTAATTTGGTTTCTCTTATAGGAAATTAACATAGATAATTGTAGTTTTATTACAAACTGTATGATAACCTTCTTTACATACTTATTTACATAATATCTAGAGAAAGTGAGTCACTTTTCCTTAGTAGCGGGTTAGGTAAAAGAATGAAGTAAACTAATAAATATTTTATTGTTGGAATAATAATTTGTTTTCCTTGGCCTTATTCTGTGCACTTATTTCATTGGGGTTGTCCTGCCCTGTCTTGTTTAGTTTGAATTTATTTCATTTTGTCATATTTGTGGTGATCTGACTTGTTCTAGATAACAAGCTCAGTAAAAATAGTTTCTTCTTTCTATGACAAAAAGCTTTTTCAAAGATAAGATAGATATTTTGTACTAAACCTTCAGTGCAATTTTCCAAATGTCAGAAATATGCTAAGTAGGGTAAAAAGTTTATTTTTACAATGTTGATCCAAAATGGAGAAACTTACATAGCCAGCTTCACTCTGAGCCTCTGTATATTTAAAAGGCTATGTCCAACATAAAATTTCTCTAACTTATCATGCAGCTTCTGGGGTAAAAGTTTTATGCATTTTCTACTTTAAATTGTAATCATAAACCATGCAAACTAGGAAATGTCCAACAGACATGGTGTTGGAGTACTCTATCCTTTTTAACTTAGTATGTGTTCTTTGTTCTTCTTGTCACAGTATATTTAGAATTGACAACTTTGGCATAAAAGATACTTAATCAAGCATAGTATCAAGATTATCCAAAACTCAGTTGAGGATAAATTTTGCTTTGTCATCTTTTAACCATAATCTGAATTTGAATCAATGTAGTTTTAACATTCAGTTGACCATCAAGTAAATTAAATTTTGAGTGTTCTTTACAGTGATTACTATTGTTCATTTTGAAAAATGTCAGCATAACTTTTCATATTTTACTCTATACCAAACTATATTAGTTTAGAAAATAGAATAGTTAAATGTTTAACTATTTTTAATTTCTAAACTAATACTAGTTAATTTTAATATCATTCATTTGTTAACTATCTTTGAATACCTACTGTGTATCAGGCAGTGTTCCTGGTCTAGAAAATTAAAGGGTGGTCACCTCTTGATGAAAGTGAAAGAGGAGAGTGGAAAAGTTGGCTTAAAGCTCAACATTCAGAAAACTAAGATCATGGCATCTGGTCCCATCACTTCATGGGAAATAGATGGGGAAACAGTGGAAGCAGTGTCAGACTTTATTTTTCTGGGCTCCAAAATCACTGCAGATGGTGATTGCAGCCATGAAATTAAAAGATGCTTACTCCTTGGAAAGAAAGTTATGACCAACCTAGACAGCATATTTAAAAGCAGAGATGTTACTTTGCCAACAAAGGTCCATCTAGTCAAGGCTATGGTTTTTCCAGTGGTCATGCACGGATGTGAGAGTTGGACTGTAAATAAAGCTGAGCGCCGAAAAATTGATGCTTTTGAACTGTGGTGTTGGAGAAGACTCTTGAGGGTCCCTTGGACTGCAAGGAGATCCAACCAGTCCATCCTAAAGGAGATCAGTCCTGTGTGTTCATTAGAAGGACTGATGCTGAAGCTGAAACCAATACTTTGGCCACCTCATGCGAAGAGTTGACTCATTGGAAAAGACTGATGCTGGGAGGGATTGGGGGCAGGAAGAGAAGGGGACAGAGGATGAGATGGCTGGATGGCATCACCGAAAGCTGAGCATAGAAGAATTGATGCTTTTGAACTGTGGTAGTCCCTTGGACTGAACTGAACTGAAGACACTTTTAAAGGTCCACAGGAATGCATAAGTGGTTAGTTGAAGAGGAGGAAGGTGTCAGGGTAGGTAGAGAGTTTTAAACAAGTATTGGAAGAGGAATGGGGATTAAATAGAAAAGTGAAGGAGGAGCATTCCTGATCAAGGAAATAGTATATGCAAAAGAATGCATGTGTGATAGAACTTGGATAATTCAGAGATCCACAAGTAGTTGGTTATAGATGGAGTATAAGATGTGTTGAGGACAGTAAGTGGAAATAAGTTCCAGAAAAAATAAGTTCTTGAAAAGACAGGGGTGCACATTGACTAAGAACATGTACTTTTGAATTTAACTGATAAGAAATTTATACTTTATTCACTAAGCAGTAAAAAGCCATTGGATGATTTTAATTAAACAATGATATATTTAGATTTCTATTTTATAAGTAGAATGTAGTTAGCATAGTAGAAAGGAAAAAGTCAGTAAGTCAAACTAGTCACATGATCTTAGCTAGGGCTTCTATAACTAATTGCCATGGGCTAGATGGCTTAAACAACAAATGTTATTTTTCATTGTTCTGGAGACTGGGAAATCCAAGATCACGGTGCTAACAGATTCAATGTCTAGTGAAGGTTCTCCACCTGGTTTGCAGATAGCTGCCTTCTTACTACAGCCTCACATGTAGGGAAAGATCATCTCTCCATTTTCTCTCTTTATAAGGGCACTGCAATTCACAGAGGCTCCACATGATTTAATTAGCTCCAAAAGACCCTACCTTTAAACATCATCACACTGGAGACTAGGGCGTCAGTGTATGAATGTAGGAGGGACACAAACATAGTCCATAGTGTGATCAGCACTAAACCAAGACATTTACTGTAAGGATGGAGTAGTAGTCTTTGGGAAAGATTTGGGGGTCACATCAAGAGTAGTGGGTTATAGTTAGATGTTGAAGGAAAAGGAGATGTCTAAGGATACTGGACTTCCTGGTGGCTCAGACAGTAAAGAATCTGCCTGCAATGCAGGAGACCCAGGTTCAATTCCTGGGTTGGGAAGATCCCCTGGAGAAGGGAATGACTAACCACTCCAGTATTCTTGTCTGGAGAATTCCATTGACAGATGAGCCTGGTGGGCTATAGTCCATGGGGTTGCAAAGAGTCAGACATGACTGAACGACTAACACTTTCACTTTTTCACAAGAACATTGAAGTTCCTTTTTTTTACCATTAGGTGAATGGTAGATAGAAATAACAGGGAAAACATAGTTGTAATTAACATTTTTAAATTTTACATTTCTCAGTTTAAAATTAATAAGTTTGGTTTCTAATAATATCAACAAAATATGAGAGTGTATGTACAACTTGTTCATGAATGTGGGTGATAGCTGAATTCAAGAACATACAACCTCAAAATACTAAAATAACTTTGAATCTTATCACTTGCCTCGTACAAAAAGGCAATGATAGCAGTTGAATTTTAGTAGTTTTGTTTATACCAAACAAAAATTATAATGTATACATACTGTGTTTTTTCTCCATTTCTCCCAGGGTCCCCAAGGACCAAGAGGTCAACCAGGGCCTCCAGTGAGTTTATTTACATGTATATCTGTTTACCATTGATGCTTATGTGCCTGCTTGGTTTGAGATATCTACTAAGTACTTAATTTTTTTTTTTTTGTATTATAGGGTCCACCTGGAGCACCGGGCCCAAGAGTAAGTCTTCTTGATTTTGTTCATTTTACCTTAGTATAATTTTTTTAAGCTTCTTCTATTAACTCTCTGTTAAAGGTATCCCTTTTGCCTACCTCTGTTCTTTTTGTTAATGTGATATAGAGTCTTTGCAACTCTAATAGAACTTTAAATTTGGGCTTCAGACTTTTTGTCTATAACATAGGATGGTATATCTTACTTTTTTGGATGGATTTGAGTTTTAAATAAGTAAAGTGCTCAGCACAATGTCTGACATAATTTATACTCACAAAATAAGAACTCCCTCTATTTCCTCCAGTTTCAGAATCCTCGCTCTCCTTCTTCAAATGTTCTTTTTTTTTGCCAACCAGAGTTCTCCACATTTTTAAGCTTTATATGAATGCTTCTCAGCTGCTGGTGGCTGTGGAAGCCCTCAGACTTCTCATGTATCAGTATTTGCTCGTGAATTTTTATAACCCCAAACTTGCTACTCCTATCTTTGAGGCAATACTTCTGTTGATTCATTATCAGCTATCATCTCCTGGCCTCAATGTTTCAGATTTATTTCTGTTATGTGTTGTATGCACTGTCGTACTTGGTAATATCTTTGTTTTCCCACTTCTTACAAGAGGTCTCCTATCTTCAACCTCACCCATGCCCCATTCCTACAGAATTCTGGTCAAATGCAGCAATCTTTGGTCTGATTTCCTGCCTAACTAAGATTCACTAATGGCTACACAGTTCAGACAAATGGCCAGTCCCATGCCTTCCAAGTCTTGCTTACATGCTTCTCTGCTTTCGATCTTTGAAATTTCTGGCTGGTGGATCACTGCAGTTCACTCCCAGCAGGTCAGGAACTCTTTGTTCCCCTCAGCTTTTCATCAGGACAAGGAAAAACTTTCAAGCAAAGTGCCACAGGAAGATTGTCTCCTTGGAAACAAGAGATCTATTTCTCTAAGATCTTTTTTTTTAATTATTCCCCCTTTCTGTCTGATGGGGATTGAAACCTTACTTGGCATGAACATCAGTGCAAATGTCTTTTTTAAAAATAATCTTTACTCTCCACTTCTCTGTTCTTCCTTTCCTCCTCGATCGTCACAATGCCTGGGTTAGAAAAGCTCTGATCAGTTGCCTTCTCACTTTATAATGACCTTGATATATCATAGGGGCCTTCCTAATAAAGAACAAATTGTAGAAAGATCATACATCAGTGGTAAATTAAAGGTGTTTAGTGAAAGTGTTTACATTAAAGTGCCAGATTTGGGGTCACCATTTCCCTCTCTCACTTGGAAAATCCATGTGTTCCTATACAGCCAAAATGAATTAGGACTTGTGAGAGATTTTTGCTCTGAGAAAAATGTGGATAAGAATATGTAAGTTTGAGGAATTAGTAAGAGTATTAAATGAAAAAATATGTGTGCTATATACTGTGTTGTTACCTTAGCTTTGGTTTTATCTCCAAGAAATCATGCTAAATCCAATATCATGAAGCATTTCCCATATATTTTCTTCTAAGAGTTTTAGAGTTTTAGCTCTTACCTTTAATTATCTGACCCATTTTGAGTTAATTTTTGTTTATAAGTAAGAGTCTAACTTCATTGGGTTTCATGAGGATATCAAAATTTCCCAGCACTATTTGTTGACAGACTGTTCTTTATAGGGAATGGCCTTGACACCTTTCTCAAAAACTATTTAACCGTATGTGTGTTTATTCCTGCACTCTATTCCATTGGTCTGTGTGTCTATCTGTATGCCAGTACCACACTGTTTTGATTATTGTTAAATTTGTAGTAAGTTTTGAAATTGAACTATGAAGCCTCCAACTTTGTTGTCCCTCTTCAAAATTGTTTGGGATATATATACTCTATTTTATAGTTACTAGTATAGTTATCTTTACCAGTGATACTTATTTCTTCATGTGGATTCAAACTTTTGTCTTGTATCCTTTATTTCTGTCCAAAGGACTCCCTTTATTGTTTTTCTAGGAAGGGTTTTCTAGTGATAAATTACCTCAGCTTTCGTTTATATGGGCATGTCTTAATTTTTCCTTCATCTTGAAGGATAGTTTTACTGGATATAGAATTCTTGGTTGACAGTCTTTTTCTTTCAGCACTCCAAATATGTCATCCTACTGCCTTCTCACCTTTATGGTTTTTGATGAAAAATCCCATCCCTTGGATATGATGAGTCTCTTCTCTCTGCATTCAAGAGTCTCTGTTTTTAGCTTTCAACAGTTTGATTATGACATGTTTAGGGGAATTCATTGAGCTTCTTGGATGCAGAGATTAATATTTTTCATCAAATCTGGGATATTTTCAGCAATTATTTCTCGAAATATTCTTTCTGCCCCCTTTTTTCTGAGACTCCCATCATGCATACATTGGTATATTTTATGGTGTCTGTAGGTCTATGAGTCTATTCATTTTCTGTGTTATTTTTCTTTTTACTCCTCTGACTGGATAATCTCAATAAACTGTTTTCAAGCTCACTGATTCTTTGTCTACTGAAATCTACAGTTGAGCCTCTCAAGTAAATTTTGATTTCAGTTACTATTAACTTTCAACTGCAAAATTTATACTTAGTTCTTTTCTATAATTTCTATCTCCTTACATTTTTTATTTGGTAAGACATTTTTTCATGCTTAAGTTCTGTAGACATGATTTCCTTTAGTTCTTTGAATATATCTAAAATAGCTAATCAAAGTTTTGTCTACTACATTCAACACGTGGGCTTCCGCAGGGACAATTTCCATTGATTGCTTGATTTTTCCCATGTATAGGAGTCACACTTTAATGTTACTAGGCATGGTCTGTCACTTTTTCTTGAAAACTGAACATTTTAAATAATATAGAGTGGCATCTTTGAAAGTCAAATTCTTCACCCCAACCTTAGTGTTTAGTATTGTTATTTGTTGTTTTTGTTATTTAGTGACTTTTCCTAATAAAGTCTGTATTCTTTGACATATGGGAACACTGAAGTCTCTTTCAGTTAGTTTAGTGGCCAGCTAAGGATTGAAGAGAGGTTTCCTTAAATGCCAGAACCATTGTTTCCCAGTTTTTGCCAAGGGTCTCTATGAGCATGTTGGAGCATCCCTTCAGTTCTCAGCCAGGCAATTGACAACTGTACCCAAGTCTTAACTTCCTATTTTCACAGAACCTGAAGATGAGCCAGAGGAGAGAGCTTAGGACCTTCTTCTGTTTTTCTGATCATGTGCCCAGCCTTATGCATTTCCAGGAATATGTCAGACCAGAGCATTTCAGAATTTCTAAGGACATCTCACTCCCTGATTTCTGCCTGTTTGCCCCAACTGTTTTCTAATGTTTCCAGCAGCCACAAAGCTAAACAATTTGATCTAAATTTTTTAAAAATATTCCTTAGGAAAGACTTTCTGCACTGAGTGAGCTCTGAGTCAGGTAAAATAAAGACAGTCTTGCAAGTGGTGTCTTTAAGGGAACCACCAGACAGGTCAAATAACATTTCACTGGAAAGGAGACTTGGAAGCAACTCAGCCCCATTCTGCTCCCTCCTGTGGTTTCCAGGCTTCTTTTCACTGCAATTGCAGGCTGTTGGTTTTCAAGGCTACCACAGAGCTGGAAAGAGAGGCATGGGAATAGGGCAAATTAAAGCTCACTGCCCTTCCTAAAATTCAACTATTTTTCTGAAGTGAATGCTCCCCAGATTTACAGCAAGCATTTTGTTAATTTCTGTAATTCTGAAATACTTCATTCTGACATTCTTTTTTCCAGTTTTCTCATTGCTTTTATAGAAGAGAGAATTCTGGGATGTCATTATTCCACCATTTTTCCTGTCTCCTAAGTCTGATCTTCAGCACACATTTTTAAAATATTCTCTGTGATGAAATGGAAGAGCATATAGATCAGTTCTGCTGCATTGAAGTACAATGGTTGACTCAAAAGTGCTTGTGGAATCCAGTTGCAAGCTGAACTAGCTGCTTTTTTCATGGAACACCATTTTTACTTGTCAGAATGACAGTTGTTTAAACATGAGTATTTGGCAGATATTTTCTTGGAAAATGAATTAAGTGAGCCTGTCATTTTAAGGAGAAAAACTGACAACTTGATACCAATAATAAATTTCAAGCAATGGTAACAATTGAAAGCTTGCATATTACAAGTTTGACAACTTCCCAATAGTTCTGTTTTTCTGATGGGATTGGTAATGATGTTAATGAATGTAATCTTTTGATACAACATAATGAAATGTGTATTTGGAAGGACTGCATTATTTCATTAACCATTTTCCAAGTAATTGAATCATGAATTTTTTTTTAAATCATGATTTTTAACAAAGTAGATAAATGATTGTTTTTAGAATCCATCTTTTAAGTTTGATAGATTAATAGATTTTAATATGAGTATAAATTTTATAGATAAGTTTTCAGACTTCACATTTCAACTAACCGTTTAATAAACTCCCACTTGTCAAGTTGTGGTATAATATCAAAGAAGAATATCCACAATTATTTGAAAAGGCTACTAAAATATTTTCTTGCCAACTACATATCTTCTTTAAGGCAAGATTTTCTTCATATAGTTCAGCTAAAATAACATTTTAACAGATCAAAAATAGAAGCAAATATGAGAATCTAGCTATTTCCTATTAATTCAGACATTAAAGAGAATATATAAGTGTAAAACAGTGCCACTCTTCTTACAAATTTTTTAGGTTTCAAAAGTTAATTTTTCATTAAAAATATTTATATTAACATGTAATATGTTTATTTAAAGGTAATTAACACAGTTTTAAATTTTATATTTTAATTCATACTATGGTAAATATCAAAAGCTATAATTCACATAAATAAAAGTTCTTTAAAGCCCTTAATAATATTTAAAAGTACAACAAGAGTCCTGAGTCAGAAGAGCCTGAGAACTGCTTATTGCTAGTTTTTCTATGATCAAAGCTCTAATGACAAATAAAGGTGACTGTTGTTTCCTACTTAATTCAATTGCCCATATTTAGTGCCAATATTTTTTTGTGACCCATGTCCAAAATCTGCCAATTCTCACAAACATGATGGTCAGAATTAACTTGCACAGAATTTTTAATGCTAAAGTCTTTCTTCTTGAGTAGGCCATGCTTCTCTATCTCCAGGCCTTTGTGTTGGCACCTCTGCCTAGAAGACTCTCCCACCCGTTCTCCTAACAATTCATGTTTATTCTTCAGATCCCAGTTCAAATATCACTACCTCTAGGAAGCCTATGCATATCTATTCCTTCCAAGTCTCATGTCCTCCAGATTTGATTAAATAAGACTCTGTAGTCCATGCACTTTTCTTTAATAGCACATATCCCAATTTGTAAATGTGTTATTTTTTAGATTATTTGATTGATGCCTTTATCGACCTCGAAACTTTAGCTCTACAAGGGCAAGGTTGTTTTGTTTTGTATTATTTGCTTACCATTTTATCCTCAATATGTGTTTGGCAGAATGAGTCAAATATTTTCCAACATGAAAACCACATGTTGAGGCGAGGATGAGTATATTTTGTTGATTGTCCCATCATTTTAAATAGTTTTCCAAATTATCAACCATGAGTTATGGGAGATGTTGAAAAGAGTTTCTATTATATGGAATGCAAGTGAAAAGATACCTCAGCAGTACAATCATTCTGAAAGGAATCAGATGCTTGATTTGCTCACACATACGCCACTTCACAGAATTTTCTCCCAACTTATGCTTCTTAGTTTCCAAGCTTTTTAAAAAATAAAATACGAAAAGACCTTTTACTAATGGTTATTCTGGGTCTTTCTCTAAAAATAACTTTTAGTAAATGCTGAAGGAGATTGCATTCATGTTGTATTATTTCTTTTGGGACTAATGACACATTTTCCAACTTCAGAAATTGTTTTTAAGACCGCAGAAGTATCAGATTAAACTAATGTGGTGACTACCTCAGGACAGTAATATTTTATTCTATTTTTCTTCCAAGAATGTAACTGTTAAAAATTACTACAGTTATTTATTCTTCACTTTACAATTTATTAACGGCGGGGATCATATTTCATCCTTCTTCCATGTGAGTAACTTTTGTGTATGTTTTCAGGCAGCAGAGACAAATAGTTTTTCATTTGTGAACTCTGGACTTTGGTCCTGTTTTAATTAGGAGACTTGAAATTTGGATGAAGGCAGCATATTGTCCTTTCAGATAGCTAGGCAATATTTGTGAGATCAGTCTAACCATAAGAGTTACAAACCCCTTTCAGATAATAAGTCTAGTATGCTTTAACAGCAGTGCTTTCAGAATTTATAGCCTTTACTTTAGAGCACTCAGTGTTGATCTTATTGCTAATCTCAAATGGTTTTGTTTTACACAGAAACAAATGGATATCAATGCTGCTATTCAAGCCTTGATTGAATCACATACTGCCCTACAGATGGAGGTAATATATCTGCCTTTATTTACATTGGCACACTCAATCTACAAATTAAACAGAAATATTCTTTCAGAGGCCAAAATGTGACTTTATCTTGAGGCCTGTATTTACAAGAGATTAAAAGCAATGAAACCATTTTTAAGGACAAAAAAAACAATTTTAATAAACAGAAATACATGCATAAAATTTTTAAGGAAAACATTTAAAACAAAAATATTGTCAAAGGATTTTCAAAATAAGAATTTGGTATTAATATTAGACAATAGTTAAATGAAGTTAGCCATTTCTTAAAATGGCATCTATCATCACTATTCATTTTTCTTAACCTCTATTTATTCATTATATATAGGTTTTTTTAAATTATGCAGTAGGGATAGTAATTGTTAAGTTTTATGTCAGCTTGAAAAGTAAACTTTTGAAAGTGTGAATCTAAGCTCTTGTTAGGATCAAGATTAACAAAACACAAATATGTTTATAGTTAAATATAAACTGTTCTTTACATCCTACTCTCAATCACTGCACCCAATAGGAGTACACTTTTCTTCTGTCTTGATCTTTGTTGATCACTTGGGTTACATACTGGTAATGACTACCAGTCATTATTTATGCTTCTTTGCTAACATGATTTTCATGATGACTTGGCAGAGCTACCAGAATACTGAAGTGACTTTAATTGACCACAGTGCAGAGATCTTCAAAACCTTGAACTATCTTAGCAATTTACTACACAGCATCAAGCATCCTCTTGGCACACGAGATAATCCAGCACAAATCTGCAAAGATTTGCTTAACTGTGAACACAAAGTATCAGACGGTAAGTTATTGGTTTCCTTAAACTGTGATATTTCATTTCATCATTTCAGTATGTTTGCTATTTCGGGTGTATTTATGCCAAATCTTATCATTTTTGATAAAACCCTGGCAGAAGCATTTTAAGGTCATCAAGAACCAAATATGTACATCTTTAGGTAAATATGGTTTCTGATATCAAAGTATTCTTTTTTGAGGTTTTGCTTTATAAAGATCTTCTACTACAAAATCTGACATATCCCCAGATTTTCTTACCCCATCTATGTCACTTGCTTATACTCTGTGCTTGGAATTCATGTTAAAAATAAAAATAGGAAAGGTTAACTTTTGAACTAACAGACAAATATTATCTGTCAGGACCACCAGAGTTGGCAACATGAAGAAAGAGATCATAGTTCCCCCCCTCTACTGCACTCCCTAAAATTAATTTTTACATAAAATGGAATTTAAATGCCTCATTTTGGAATTTGACTGTAAAGATGGAGGCTTGTCATACTTGGAATCTTCTCATCCTCACATTGATACCTCAAAGTCCATTAGCCAGAGTTGCAAAAATAGAGCCATCAAGCAAAAGGTTTAAAGCAAGTGGAGGAGCCACTACTATCTGATGATCAACAGGGAAACCCTGTCTGCTACAATATGTCATTTAATTTTAATTTTGATGGGGTCTATATAGTCAGCTATACAATCAATGTAAGTAGTTATTTTTGGTAAAAACTCTAGTCCTAACATACAATGATACATATGCTGACTTGAAAATAAGTTATTTAATTCTGTAGGATGGACAGTAAGTTCATATTTTATTTTTATACACATGTGTTTACATACAGATATACATGTCTAAATACATATTTGTCCAGAAGCATCTTCCATTCTAGAAGTGTAGCAAAAATATTTGTTTTATTTATATTAATAAAATACTTCTATAGGTGTTTCCTGCCTTAGATTATCACAAAAACAAATAATATTTTTAGTTATAGCTGCCCTTCATAATAAAATTTGACTCTTTCCTATATTTGAGGGTATAAAAATGTAATTCTATAGAACTGAAAGAAACAAAGGCATTATAGGACATATCAATTACTAAAATCTAATTCAAGATCTGCCTTCCTCATAGAAGAAATAGCTAAGTTGTGTGGCTTACAAGGTATCAGGAAAGTATTTATGCCCCAAAATACTTTCATCACTAGGAGATTGTAAGTGCAGTAGAAGAACACAAAACAACACGGAAGAGGGGGGATATGATGGAAAGTAGGGTTGGGGGTGAAGTTTTAAATAGAGTAGGTAGATAATCTCTGAGAAAGTGGCATTTGAGCAATATCTGGAGGAGGTAAGGAAAGAAGCCACAGGAAATCTGAGGGAAAGAGCTTTCCAGGAAGAAAGAACAAATGCAAAGACCCTGAACCTGTATTTAGTATGTCCTATTAGCAAGAAGGTTAAGGTGACTGGAAGAGGGCATAAGGAGAAGAATGGTAGGAAATGAAGTCAGAAAGATGTCAAGAAACCAGATTATACAGGACATTATAGACTAATCAAAAGACTCTAGCTCTTACTCTGAATAGGATGGAAAACTTTGGAAGAGTTAGAGCAAAGGAGTGACAAGACTTGACTTAAATTTTGAAATGTTACTCCTGGTGATGTATCGCAAATATAATGAGGACAGGGTAGAAAGAGCCATTGAGAAAGCTGCAAAATTTAACCCAGTAAAAGATGATGATGGTTTGGACTACAGTTAGTGGTGGGGAAGTGGCAAGAAATGGTCAAATCTTTGGATACGCTTTAAGGTGGAGTCAGCAGGGTTTTTTGTTGATAATTCAGATATGGATTATAAAACAGAATGATAAAGAATGACTCTAAGAGTTTTGACTAAAGGACTAGAAGAGCGGAATTGCTGTCTATACAGACAGAGAAGCAGGTTTGGAATCAAGATGAGTTCAATTTTGGATGTGTTTGAGATGTCTTTTAGACATTCAAGGAAGGACGTCAAGTAGGTAGTTTGCTATTCAGGAGAGAGGCCCTGGTTATGGATAAAATATATAAAGTAATTTGCATATAAATAACATCTAATGCCCTGAAACTCTCTAGGACTACCTAAAGAGTAGATTTTTTAAAAGTTCTAAAAACTGTGCCATAGAACTCTTCCATGTTTAGAGATCAGGGAGTTGAGGAGGAACTAGCAAAGAAAACTAAGAAGAAGCTATCACTGAGATAGGAGAAAAAGTAGATGAATGTGAAGAAAATGTTTGCCTGAAGAGGCAGAGATCTACTGGGTCAATGTCAAGTTAGGTGAAGGCTGGGAAAAGGCTACTAGATTTAGTAATGGAAAGTTCTTTGATGCTTTTTGCAAGAGCAATTTAGAGGAATGGTAGCAGTTAAAGCTGTATCAGGTTTTAAAAGAAAATGGTGGAGCTGGAGAGTTTCCATTCTCAGTTATGAAGCAGGAATTCAATTTGCCTAACTAAATTTTTAAAAGTTAAAAGCATAAAATACTGACAAAGTAGTAAGGATTTTGAAGAACACAGCAGAGATGGGCACACACTTACAGCTGCTTTTACCCTGGGTGCATCCAGCAACTGAGTAGTGCAACAGGGGATCAAAGGTTGGAATCCGAAGCCCACAGGTGGTGGGGATTCAGGCTTTCAAAGGGCTGTAATCTGGGAGTAAAAACGATGGGATCAAAGAATTAATGGAGTCAGGACACGACAGAGAATGAGCCAAAATGAGAAGAGAGGTGAAATCACGAAGACATCTAGCTGTAGGCAATAAACCTAAAAAAAGACTAGGGCATAGCCTTGGGAGTTAATGATGAAAGTAAACAGAACAGGAGAAGCAGACAAAAAAATTGGTGGGAAAGAGTTGGAGGAACTGAGTAGTGGTCAGAATATTACAAGTATCAACCACATGGATGTAAAATCACCAATAATTAGGTTATAAAGAGCTAGCCAAAAGCTAATATCAAAGAAATAAAGCTGATGATGGCAACAGGAACAGGTGACAGGCGATAGAGTGTGATGACAACAATTTTACCATGGAGTGTTCTCAGATTGAAAGCAGGGAGAATGGTCTGAAAGTGGCAACAAGGAGCAAGAAAGACCCCTTCCTGACTCAGGCACAATGCTGTAGAGGCTGTGGCAAAAAGGGCCTGCATGGAAGCAGTGTTCTCAGGAGAGAGCCAATTTTGAGTTCAAGCATTTAGGCCTACAAAAGATGTATTATGGTATAATGCTTATATCCTAAAAAAAATATGAAGCCCCCTACCAGTTCACCAGTGAACAACAATGCCTGAGTTCAAAGCACTCCAACCCATATAAGAATGAGATCTTGCTTGATGGAAAACCTTTTATAAAGCATATGTTCGCTCACATAGTAGAGGAAACTATTTCTTGAATGAGAGATGATGAGTCAAGATATATGTCTACCTCATTAGTTAAGGGACTTCCCTAGTGGCTCAGATGGTAAAGCGTCTGCCTACAATGCGGGAGACCTGGGTTCGATCCCTGGGTCGGGAAGATCCCCTGGAGAAGGAAATAACAACCCACTCCAGTACTCTTGCCTGGAGAATCCCATGGACAGAGGATCCTCTTATGCTTCAGTCCATGGGGTCGCAAAGAGCCGGACACGACTGAGCAACTTCACTTCACTTCACTTCATTAGTTAAGACTGTAAGCCTGCATCAGAACCCGGTTTTTAAAAAGCCAGCTGTAATTTCTACAACCTACAAAATGTCCAACATTCTGAGGAAATTGGGGGGAAATAATGGGATACAGAGGTGATATTAGGACTTTTTCACCCTTTTCTTCCATATTTCAGTATAGATCGGTGATTCTCCAAATATTATCCATGAACCAGAATTAGATGCAGATTCTCAAACCCCATCCCAAATGTAATGATTTAGAAACTCTAGGGGTGGGGCGCAGATGTTTTAACAGTCACCAAAGTCTGAAAACCACTGCAATAGAGATAGTCACCTACTCTTGAAGTAACAATTCAAGTTTTCATTTTGTAGGATTAGAAGAATAGCAGAGGGGGAATGGTCAAGGATGTGTGTAAATCTACAAAGACAGACCAGGGGAAGCCCAGAATAAGCTACAGGAATCTTTGCTATGGGGGAAAAAAAATGAAAGAAACAAGGTTTTTTTTACCTATTATAGAAAATGGCCTTTAACAAATACTGTTTGTTTTGTCTTGCCTTTTTAATGCAAGAAGGCAGGGCCATCTCATTCAAAAATTCCTGCTCTTTGCATTTAGAATAAGGTGCTTTTTTATTATTCTGAGCCTGTTATTCCAGAATTAAGATGCTACTCCGGTACTTTTCAGTTTGAATATGTCCTAAAGTCCAACTTTACGCTGCATTTGACTCTCCTGGACACTCAGTGGATGCAAAGGTTGGCAGACTTACACTGGCTATAGAGACTTCAGTCTTTTCCACTCACAAATCTGAAAATAAAGCACAAAAATAACCATTTAATTGTACACTTTTCTTCTGGAAACAAAAATGCTTATTCTTTTTAATTATCAATTAAACAAAGATACATTTTTCTTCAGGGAGACTGAAGAGGTTTCTATTTTTAAAATATATGTATTCATTTTTAAGCTCTATAATGACATAGAACAAAAACACACACATATCCTACATTAATTTCAACTTCTCTATTAACTATATGTAACTGTAGACAATTCACTTAAGTTGCTGAGTTCATCTTATCTATAGCATGAAGTAACAGATTATTTTTTATTAAAATTATGAAATGGCCTTAAATTCATAGGTATGTGGAAAATATAGTATTTTCACTATCAGTTTAACATAATGCTTGCAGCTTTTATTTTTTCACTAAATGTATTGATTTAAATGTATGATCTTTATAAACTTCTAAGTTTTTTAACAGGAAAAGGTGTGAAAAAATATGTTGAAAGTATGATACTTTTTAAGGATTGTTCAGAAATATTTAACATGTCATTTAAATATTTTTGTTTCACAATAAATAGGAAAATACTGGATTGATCCAAATCTTGGATGCCCTTCAGATGCCATTGAGGTTTTCTGCAATTTCAGTGCTGGGGGTCAGACATGTTTATCTCCTGCCTCTGTGACAAAGGTAAATTCTGAATTTAGCATATATACTGATACTTGCCCACTATCAGTAAACAGTGATTTTTAAAAAATCTTCCACCTCAAATAATTATGAATTTTATGAGTGGAAGCAAGATATTCTCTACCATATATGAGAAAGAAACTTTTTGGTTTTTAAAACTAATCCTGTTAATTCTTGACCATTTGATTACGTATTTTTATGACTGGCTTAGTTTGGCTTACTCTACTGACTATGCTTTTTAAATCCCTTTAAAAAATGTAAAACATATGTTTTTATGCTCATGCATTCATTAGAAAATTCCCAAACAGCTGCAATGTTTGTATTCAGTAATCAGTTACCTAAAGTTTTTACTGAAAATGACATCATCATCATTAAAAAAATTCTGCCACAAAACTTGCTGTTTTGGGTGATTGGGAACAAAAATAACCTCCCTGAAATACCCACTGGGTATTATTTAAAATGTCTTATATGTATAATTCCATAAATGTTTAGAATGAACGAAAGTTAGTTTGGTATAACACTGGGTATTGTAACAAGCATTTCTCAATCCTAAAGCTTAGTTCTATCTATAACATATATCAAAGAAACCAAAACTGCATTTCTTTCTTTCTCTGGTTAAACTACCTTGGCCTTCCCAAGAACTAATTTTTCATTGACAAAGAACTGATACATGGACGTACTGTGTGTTTTCTCCACCATAAGAAGGCATCAGCTAAAAAGTACAGTGTATCAGTCTCTCCAACTGCTTAGAATTAGACTGTCCTCTTCTCCTCAAACGTTCCCCCTCATTAACCAGGGTGTTTTATCCACTCATCTCAATAGGTATTCACCACTGTTACCCAAAGCAGAACAGGGGAGGACTCTTCTATTCCTGTGGAATCTGTGTAATGCTAAAGAGGAGCAGTAAGATCACCTTGCTTCCAAACTACCCACATAATCACCCTCATGCCCCTGGGTTTAGCCCAGTATTTTTATTTGGGTTATCATGGAAGAAAAGGAGAGGGGAGTACAAAGAAGATAGAATCAGTGAAGGAGCCATATTCCAGTTCTTTCCTTGGCTGAATCAATTCCCCCATTTCTCCCATCCATAAATTCAACCTGAGAAAGACCGCACAGGTAATGGAAAGAATAGTAGACTTGGAATCAGGGACCTGGATTCTAATTTCTGTTCCTCTGAAAACCTGGGAAATGATACTGTGAACCACCAGAAAGCCCACTCCTTGCCAGGCACTGTACTAACTAAATGACACTTGACCCCTCACATCCTTGTAGCAATCCTGTATTGGTGTTATACCCAAATTTGCCAATAAGGAAACTGGGCTTAGAAAGGCTCCGTATTTCACAGGTTTGTAGTTCTCATTTGCAAAATCAAAGAATTCGAACTGCTTCAGCTCTCATGTTCCTCATGATGATCCTTCCATGTTTTCATCCTTATGCCCCACCACCACCACCTTTGCCTTTCTTCTCTTTCCCTACAGTTTTTTGCTGTTGTTCTTATAACCTTATAACTGATATTCTGATTTGGTGACTGGAGATTAGTATAAATTCCTCAGTAGGAACCACTTCTATTCATTTATGTTATAACCATACCCCTGTTTGAATAATGCTAAAATGATGATGATGTCTAAAGCTACAGAAAAATCTGCTTCCTTGTCCAAATCTAGAAACTCCTTGCTCCAATACTACCCTACATTGTTCACTTTATTAGTTAATATTTGTTCATGCATTCATTCATGTAATAAACAGCTATTGACGACTCACTGTATGACCAAACCTGCATTAGGGGTTGGCTAACACAAAGATTAAGATTCTGTCTTTGTCTTTAAAGGCTCCATAATTGAAATAATTCAACCAATTAATTATTACAACTTTTAACTTATCATTGGAAACTAAAAAAAAAATCTTCAAATGAAAGCACAGACAGAATTTCAAATTTCTATGAAAGAAATTTTAAGCAATAATCCACAACAAATTATTAATGCATCTTAAATGACATTATGCAAGCTATTTTTTTAGTCCTATTTAGTTGCCTAGTGATATGCCAACGCCAGCTCATACTGCTCAGGAGAGCCTATTTATTGTTAAGATCTCTTGTGAATTCCATGTTAAGTGACAGCACCTGGAGAGCCTAAAATCAGCCATGGTAGGAGTACTCACAACTATGGAAATTCAGAAATTGCTATAAATCGGGGGTGCCCTCCTGCCCCACCCCTGCAAGGGCCAGTGGCTAAGCATTTACCAGTACACCACTGACTGGCACTTAAATATCCTAAAAAGTAGCTTTCTCAAGGCTGCCTTTTAAGGACTAACTTTAAGTTTCTCCAAACTATAAATTTTTCAGTTGCCATATCTTATAACTTGCCTATTGTTTCAATGACATTAGTTGGAGTTTGGAATCGGGAAAGTCCAGATGAACTTCCTTCATTTACTGAGCTCAGAAGCCACCCATATCATCACCATTCATTGTCTAAACACTCCAGTGTGGACAAGTCCTCAAACAAGTGGCTCAGGATTGACTCTTGGTTTCAAGGGATGGAATGGTCAGATTTTTGAAGAAAACACTCTACTTGAACCTAAAGTGCTTTCAAATGACTGCAAGGTAAGGGAATGGCACGTTTAGAATTATTCAATATAACTAACTTAAAATTGATAAGAATATATATAATTAACAAAGAGTAAAACTATATAATATGAGTAAGACATTGCAAATTGCAGCTACAGAAGAGTAAGTTTTAATGTGCCTAATGTGTAATGACCATACATTTTTCATAATCAATTATTCATTTATATCAACTTTTGTCACACCCATTGGTCATCCATGGAGTTTTATATGCAAAGTGGGTGTTATTAATGTATTAATTTTTATCCCCCATATTAAATAATTATATATGATAGCAGATGGAGTATAAGGGCCTATAGACAAATGTTTTCTTTTGTATATTTTTACCGTGATCCTGCATCTCATTACTTCATGAAAAACAGGTTATAGAGGCAAGTCAGGTTTATTTCATATTTTGTCAGTCCCCATACCTGATGCCAAATAATGGGCAAAATGGCAGTTTGACTCTACAAATCAGTATCTGAATCATAGCCCATTTTTCCTATTAAAATTAAATAATAATGAAGAATTTATAATTTTAAAACATTGTATTGTAGAGCAGGTGTTGGCAAACTACAATCCATAGACCAAATCTAGCCCAGCATTCACTTTACTAAATATATGTTATTGAAACACAGCCACACTCATTCATCTCTTTATTATCTAGGGCTGTTATCACACTACAGTGGCAAAGTCAAGTATATATGACCCACAAAACCTAAAAGATTTATTTCTAACCCTTTACAGAGGAGTTTGTTGACCCCTTTTATAGAGTTATCCACTTACATATCATTAACTTCTTTAAGGAGCTCTTGTGTATCATGAAGCCCATGATTTAACATGTCTTATATTTAGAGTGCTTTACTTTTTCACAACATTTCACTTTCAGATAAACTACACTTGCATATTTGAAAAATCATAAAATAAATAGAAATATATGGCTTGCTCTCTGTAGGTGAAGAAATCAGCATTACCAACAAAATTAACTTTCACAATTTTGTCCAGAACTTTTAGTGACTCATTACTGTTTCTGAGACACAATCAAAACTTAGCAGCAGTTAGAATAGTCAGGCCCCAACCTATTTTTCAAGCTTGGGCTTTCACTGACTGTGTACCCTGAACTCTAGTCAAACTGATCTATTTATAATAATACCAACAATTCCTACTACTAATTATTGGGGACTTATTAGATGACAGGTACTATGTATTGCATACATTATTTAATTATAACAGCTCTATGAAGTTACCGTTAGTATCATTTTATAGGTAAGAAAAACTGAAGGCATAGAGGTTAAGTAACTTGTTCAAGGTGCAGCAGAGCATGAAATCAACCCTAAGTGTGTACAGTTCCAAAGTCAATGCCACGCTATACTGCCAGGGTCTTTTAATGCAAATCTCACTTAATCCTCACTAATTCACATTTTATACGTGAGAATACCTATACCTGGGTGTCTATCAAAATCTGTGCACTTAAAGACCATGCTAGGCTTATTTTCACAACTGCTTTCTACCTTTCCAACTGTTTTGGGTTTTTTCTATTCATGTCATTCCCCTTCTCTGAAATGCTGTTTTCTACTCCTCTAACCAAGTAGAAATTGTACATACTTTAAGGCCTATCTCCAATTCTGAATATACAAGGCTTTTCCCTGACTCTTCTAGCTGGAAATGAGGAACTCAGCATTCACTCTGTGTATTCGTTATGATGCATGTCATACATAGCCTTATCTTACGGCTGTTTGTTTCTCCTCTCCCTGACTAAATTTATAAGCTGAAAGAACTCAGAAGCCAGAATTTACTCATCTTTGTATTTCCCAAGAACTGTAAGAAACTGGAGGATTACATTTTATTCAACTGTGCCAAAAATACTTAATCTTCAACAAATATTGTTTGAGACTTAATGAAGTTACAGAGAATTCTAGCCTAATTATTACCCCAAGGTTATGACTTTGGTAATTTATCTTCTGTGAGCTTCAATTGCCTTAACTTAAAATGGAATTTATAGCTTCAATAATCTCTAAAGTTCCTTCAAATTCTAAAATTTATACCATGATAATTCTGTGAATGAGTAAAGGAACAAACTCCTGTATAAAAAGCCTCACAAAGCTAGTTAACTGTTTCTCTATTTTGTCTTCCTGAAACTTAATCAGAGTATAGTTTTTATTTTATAATAGAATTTACCCTCCAAAAAAGAGCATACAGTAATAAAAGGAAACAGAAAGGCCTAGAAAGAAAGGAAGGGAGGAATGAAACTATATAAACAGTAACCACAGAATGGAAAAAAAGAAACCTAAAAGATAACTCAACATAATTATAATTTACTTGTACTGAAGTGATTCTGCATATTTCCTGCCTAGAGTACAGAGAGGGTAAGCGCACTCATTCCCTTTTATCCAAGACAAGTGTCCATCCTGAAGCATCAGTCCCAAATAAAGGAAAACAAAATGGGTATTACTCACATTAGAATCAGGGTATAGCTGGTCCAATGATCCACAGATAACAGAAACAGGAAGCCTCAAGAAAAATCAGAACACACAATGCCATCTAGAAAATGGAATAATCATATATTTTCAATTATTCATAGTAAATGTCACCCATTCATTGAGCACTTACTCTGTGCCAGGCATTATTCTAGGCACTTTCTATTCATTATTTCGAATCCTTAAATCTACCCTGTCTATGAAAACACATTGTCTGCTGCTAATGGAAAAATTACAGATCAAAGCATTTTGTTATTTTTCAGATTCAAGATGGCAGCTGGCATAAGGCAAAATTCCTTTTTCACACCCAGGACCCTAATCAACTTCCAGTAATAGAAGTACAAAAACTTCCTCATCTCAAAAGTGAACGGAAGTACTACATTGAAAGCAGTTCTGTGTGCTTTCTCTAAGGTCTCTGAATTAGTTCAGAATGCATGCTGTTGGCCAGGTAATTGCTGCAGAAGGAAAAATATAGACAGAAAGGTACTATTGGATATCATGAAATGCATGGAATAAAGCATTGGCTAAATTTTAAAGAATCTCAGGAAGAAAAGACTTCCTCCTAAGAAGGAGACAAGGCATTTTTTTAAAGGACTATAACTGATAAAGTATTTAATTCTTTAAAAAATTATATTGATCTGAGCTTTCTTAGAGAATTCCCTAGAACTGAACATTTATAAACATGGAATTCTTCAGGGTATTCTATATTTTTTGACTGTCTGAGAGCAAAGTACCCATTAGACAGCTGGAGATGCAAAGCACTAGGGAGCAATACTGGCTAATGCTCCCATATGTGCAATGCTTCTGTCTAAAAACTGCAAGCCACAGTCTAATACGTCTTCTTTTCCCAAATACTAAGCTGTATTCAGCTCCCCAGTGGGCATATACATCTTAGCCGGTGGTACACTACCTCTTACGTGTTGCCTTTTTGTGTTGCTTGGTGCTCTTTCTAAAACACGGTGCTTGTGGCTTTCATAGACTATTTTATTTCTTTATTCGTCTTTGTCATTCTTTAAGAGTGTATGTACTGGTTACATCAATATATGTTTTGGTTGTTAGTACTTATTTTAATTTGTTTGGTCATATACTTAATATCAAGTAAAACATTATTTATGTGAAGTTCTTATTTTAAAATTCTCTTTGTGGATATAAAATCAAGGCTAGCACATTGTAACCTGTGCTTAAGCACAAGAGAATTGGGAGGGGGTTTTATTGTTTATGTTTTAAATTGCTGTAAAAAATATTATAGGCCAGCTACATCCAGTAGTAGGTTTGGGTTAGAGTTTAGGGGTTGTGATATACTATTTTAAAAAATCCATGATCATCTGGAATGATATTTTGTGTATATATATTTTGTAAAGTTGTTATTCAGCAAATCTTTTGAAATTGCTGCTGTTTTAAATTATAAAAACTTTGTTTCTGTTTCATAGAAATTACATGTTTTTAAATAATTCATTGATTTTCTTTCACCATTCTTAAATTTAATGTGTTGGGACCTAAAAGAATTCAATTTGCCAGTCATTAAAGCAACATTCAAGAAAACAAAATCAGTCTTTTGCCATTTAAAATAGGTTAAGTTCAGACTTTCCTTGTCAGAGAAATGTTAAGCATTAAAAATATTATACCTTTTGGTATACTGAAAAGCATGTACATCCATTATAAACATACCATCAAACCACACTTACCTATCTATAATAAAAATGTGCTTTAATATCTTTTTTGGTGTTTTTTTTTTTTAAACCATACCCTTTGGTTTTTTTTTTAAAACCATACCATTTTATTACGTAGGACAGCCTCTTTGGCTTAGACCTTCTGTACTATGTATATTGCACTACTAGAAAGTTTCTATTACACACCTATAAAAGGATTATAGAGCCTATTTCCTACTCAAAATGAGGTCATGGCATAGAAACTCTCTCATATATGGGCTGATTTCTAACAAGGGCGCCAAGCCCATTCAGTGGAAGAAGAACAGTTTTTTCAACAAATAGTTTTGGGAAAACTAGATATCCATATGCAAAAGAATGAAGTTGGACCTTTATCTTGCATGATATACAAAAATTTACTCAAAATGATGAAATCTATTACTGTAAAAAACATTTGGGATAATATCAAAAATTTAAAAAATAACAAAATGTATCAAAGTCCTAAATGTAAGAGCTAAAATTATAAAACTCTTAAAACTTAGGTGAAAGTCTTCATGACATTAGAATTGGCGATTATTTCCTGGATAGGACACCAAAAGCACAGTTGACAAAAGAAAACAATAAACTGGACTATAGCAAAACTTAAAACTTCTGTGCAAAGGACACTATCAAAATAGTAAAAAGACATCCCACTGAATTGGAGAAAATATTTGCACCTTATATGTTCGATAAGGGATTACTATCCAAAGTATATGAAGAACTCTTAAAACCCCAAACCAAAAACAACAAAAAACCCTCAAGCAACCCAAATTAAGAAATGGGCAAAACACTTAACAGATATTTCTCTGAAGATACACAAATGGCCAACAAATGAAAAGATGCTCAACATCACTAGTCATTAGGTGCAAATCAAAACCATAGTTAAATACTATTTTGTACAAATTAAGATGGTTATTACTATCCCCCCAAAATAGGAAAATAACAAGTGTTGGTGAAGATATGAAGGAACTGTAACCCTTATAAATTGCTGGTGGGAATGTAAAATGGTACAACTGCTGTGGAAAATAATTTGGCAGTTCCTCAAAAGTTATACACATAGAATTACCATATATGATATAGTAATTCTACTTCACATATATACCCAAAAGAACTGAAAGAAAGAATCAAACATATTTTTACACCAGTGTTCATAGAAGTATTATACAGAATAGCCAAAAGATGGAAATAACCCCAGTGTGTATCAGTAGATGAAATGATAAACAAAATGTGGTGTGTACATACACTGGACTATTATTAAGCCTTGAAAATGAAATTCTGATGTATGCTCAAACATTGATGTACCTTGAAAACATTATGCTACATGAAAAAAGGCAAACAAAAACAGGTAAATATTGTATGATTCCACTGATATGAATTACCAAGAATAGACAAATTCTTAAACAGAAAATATAACAGAGGTTTATCAGAGGCTAAATGAGGTAAAAATAAATTATTTTTTAATGAATAGAGTTTCTGTTTGAAATAATGACAAATTTCTGGAGATGGGTGGTAATGACAGCTGTGCAACAATATGAATATACTTAATGCAACTGAATTATACACTTAAAATTGTCATTTTAATCATTTTATGTTGTATATTTTACCACAATTTTTCAAAATGGGGCTATGGCAAAGATGTCAGATTTCTTGCTTGAGAAATAGAAATGTTTTTAAAAGGAGCCAAGACTGATTCTCAGGTGGCTCAGACTGTAAAGAGTCTGCCTGCAGTGCAGGAGACCCAGGTTCAATCCCTGGGTTGGGAAGATCCCCTGGAGAAGGAAATGGCAACCCACTCCAGTATGCTTGCCTGGAAAATCTTATGGAGGGAGGAGTCTGGCAGGCTACAGTCCATGGGGTTGCAAATCAGACAGGACAGAGCAACTTCACTTTCACTTTCGCTTTCAAGACTGATTCTAAATATAAGAACCCACAGTTTATCCTCTGGTTTCAGTTTATATGCTATACCTTCTGTTCTCCCCCTACACAAAAAAACTTTATATCAGAGGCATAAATGATTTTCCTAGATTTTATTTCAGAAATATATATATATATATAATAGAAATACCTTACTTTGTGTTCATGTTTTGTTCCTGAAATATTAAATTTAAAGCAAATTTTAATCAACTTAATTATAGGTGGTTATAGTCTGGTAGTTAAGAACACTCTGAGGATTAGCTATGTGACTTTGGGTATATTATTTATTCTTCACTGTCCCAGTTTCTTCACTATAAAATGGGGATTATAAAAGTAAAAATCAGTATTAGGGTTTTCCAGAGAAACAGATAGTAGGAGAGATAGACAGATGAAAGGTAACATATAAATTGATGACAGATGACTAGAAAGATATAAATATATATATTTAACATACATAGGGCTTTCCTGGTGACTCAGCAGTAAAGAACCCACCTGCCAATGCAGGAGACATGGTTTTGATTACTGGGTCTGGAAGATCACTGGAAAAGGAAATAGCAACCCACTGCAGTATTCTTGCCTGGGAAATCCCATGGACAGAGCAGCCTGGTGGGCTACAATCTATGGGGCTACAAATTACCCTAAGTGTAAATGGATTAAACATACCAACCAAAAGACACAGACTGGCTGGGTGGATACAAAAACAAGACCCATACATAGGTTATCTACAAGAAACTCACTTCAAACCTCGGGACACTTACAGACTGAAAGTAAGGGAATGGGAGAAGGTATTCTACACAAATGGAAATCATAAGAAAGTTGGAATAGCAATACTCATATCAGACAAAATAGACTTTGAAACAAAGAGTGTTTTAAGAGACAAAGAAGGCCACTACCTAATGATCAAAGGTTCAATCCAAGAAGAAGATACAACAATTATATACGCATCCAACATAGGAGCCCCTCAATATGTCAGGTAAATACTAACAACCGTAAAGGGAGAAAATGACAGTCGGAGTATTCAAGTAAGAGGGGACTTGTAATACTCCCCTTTGATCAGTGGACAGGTCATCTGGACAGAAATTAATAAGGAAACACAGGCCTTAAATGACACTTTAGACAAGTTGGACTTAATATTTATAGAACATTCCATCCAAAAGCAGCAGACTACATACACATTCTTAATCAAGTGCACGTGGAACATTCTCCAGGTTTGACCACATGCTGCACCACAAGGTGAGCCTTGGTAAATCTAAGAAAACTGAAAACATACCAAGCATCTTTTCTGACCACAACACTGAAATAAAAAATAAACGACAAGAAAAAAACTCTAAAAAAAACAAATACATGGCAACTAAAGAATATGCTACTAAACAACTAATGGATCACTGAGGAAATCAAAGAGGAAATTAAAAAATACCTGAAGACAAATGAAAATCCAAGCACAATGGGATGCAGCTAAAGCAGTTCCAAGAGGGGAGTTTACAGCAATACCTCAAGAAATACTTTTACAACCTTACCTCAAGACACAAGAAAATCTCAAATAAATAACCTAACCTTATACCTAAAACAACTAGAGAAAGAAGGACAAACAAAATCTAAAGTTAGTAGAAGGAAATAAATCATAAAGATCAGAGAAGAAATAAAACAGAGACAAAGAAAACAATTGCAAAGATGAATGAAACTAAAAGCCAGCTCTTTGAAAAGATAAAAAATAGAAAAGGGTGCGGGGACTCAAATGAATAAGATTAGAAATGAAAAAGGAGAAGCTACCATTGACTCCACAGACACACCAAGGATCGTTAAGAGACTAC